CATTATCGAGGCTGTCGCTTGGAGTCCTCAGCCCAAGAAGACCCTGTCTCCTGCTGGCAGGCACCCCAGCACACCTCCATCAGCTCTGCTCTGTGCCCTGGCAGCAGGCATGGGAGGCCTGGCGTTAGGGCCCTGCTTCCCAGGCAAAGCTGGTGGATGCAGGAGCCCTTCAAGGCTACACCAGCCTCTACTTGTAGTCTCTTTTTCAGAGTTGCTGTTTCCTGTAGCAACTGATCCTTCTCTGTGTTCCCATTATTTGTTTCACAGTGGGAAGCAGAGCTTTTTTCTCTTCTGTACAGACAGCTCTACTGTCCTGCATCTTTTGCTTTCCTGGGTAAGCCTGAAGCAGATAGAAGTACAGGGAGGAGATAAAGGGAGAGGGGATAACTATCTTTGCCTTGCAAATTTATTCAACCCATGGCAGAAAGTGTTAAATTTGGAGATAAAGTAATAGGGACATCTTTAACTTCCTGCATCTGAGTACAACTGAAAAATCTCCATTTGTTCCTCTTGCTTTATGTGTTGCTTTCACTGCAACTGGTTTTAAAGTGAACAATTCCTAACATCTTTTTTCTTTTCAAACTATTTAAATCCATACAATTAGTTTTTGAACTTGGGTTTATTGCTGCAATTAACTGGGGAAGTAATCATATCTTTTTTTTGTTTCACAAATCCAATTAAGTAAACATTCACAGAGCAAGTCATTCCAGCGCATTTGGGGTGATCTATTAAATATAACACAATGTTCAAGTTCTTCGTGGTTGTTGGGTTCATCTTCATCCCAGTTTTCATAAATTACCTGTGTGGGAAATGCATCTCAATTACTATGTGATTCAACCTGAGTGGAAGTAATTGAGATTGCCGTCGTAACACAATTTCAGGATCTCATCATCTCAAGTACCTTGTTTATGGGATCAATAGGAGTTCAGGTAGGTCTGAGAGGGCTGTGGAAGTCATGCTGATCAGCTCACTTTCACCATTGCTCCCCAGAGAAGGTATAAAGATTACACAGTATAGAAAAGCATGTACCTGCTGGAGAAAAAACTGAAGGGCAGAGGGAGTCTTTGTGAAGGATGGCAACATGACTCTGTACGGGCATACAGCAGTGCCTGGACTGGGATACTAAGAGAGAGACTGTGGAAGATGGGATATAACATGGTACCAGGGGTGAAACAGAGGCAATTTTGTACTTCCACGTGTGTTAAGACAGTGCCATCACTGAACACTGCAGCTGTTCAGCTGGTGGATAAAGGGCTGCCATGCACCTGCCAAGGGTTTGGACATTGGAAAAAGGGCATAAAACGATTAAAATCTATATAGTCTAAAGAGCAGAAAGTCAATTAATATCCAGCAAATAAGTACTAACAGGGGAACCATCAATCCAGGCAAATCCTTCGTCAGGATTTAAGAGAAACAAACTGATCCAGAAAGCCTGAGTGTTCAGTCCTTTATCCCTAAAATAAATCATACAATATAGGTAGTGTAGAATGAGGGGACCTGATATAAATGCTGGAAAGCATAGAAACATGCTGCCTTCTCTCACATCTGAATTGGGAGCTGCTCCTTCACTGTTGGCCCATGGCCAGTCTCACCACATGCTCTCTGTCTAGCGGTTTGATAGTGCTCGGTGCTGGGACAATACTTGCCATACTGCAATGCAAGTTAAAGGACAAGTGGTGTCACACAGAGCTAGCTCCGGCTGCCATCCTTGCAGCTGCAACACAGCTCTAGCAGGAGTTCTTGAACAGAGGCTTTAGCAAAAGTAAAACCTCAATAGAGAGCTATAATACATTTTAACACATGAAAAATAGTGAAAATTGTTTTTCAACTGCTTTGGTTTCCTTCTTGGTACTTCTTTATTTAATAGTTTACACTATTTATCTTGTACCTGTGGACCAGATAAAACAGAGTCCTATTTGAGTTCACTACATAACACGAAGATTCGCCTCCACAAAGATTTCAGAGTCTAAAGCAAAGAGGCTTAACAAGCAAGTAAAAACACTTTCAGCTTCTCATAATACTGAAAACCAATAAAATTAAGAACAGTGAGATCACAAAGACTTTTCTATATGACAGTTTTAAATCTATTTGAGAAATTAAATCTAGATTCAGCACTAAGTGAAACAGTTTTGTTTAAATACTTACATATTATGTGCCATTGAGATGGCTTGACATTACAGAAAACAGTCAGAATGTAGTGGTCTAATTTTGGGCGAAAATAATGGTGCAGTTTCTACATTGCAGGCAAGGCATGGCATCTACAGTGTTAGCCAAAATTAATTAAAATGAGTCCCTGTTTGACTTCAGGAGTCTTCAGTTTATATTCAGAAAATTTCAACATTAATTCCTTGCATTTTGGTTTACATTAAACATTAAAACAAGGGATTTTTTGAATGTGTTGATTAAAACATGAATTGCAGATGGTTAAAAAAGCACAGTTAGGGCTGAACATTTTATTGTCTCCCTTTTGGGGGAGGGACTAACATGTACAAAGTTGATCAGATCTGGAGAACAGCCTTGATAAAAGCCTGTGATGAAAATTTTAAAAATATCAAAGCCTTTGAAATAGTCAAAGTTTTTTTAAAAAAACCCTAATGTTTCACGATGATATTTCCAGATTAAAATTGTCCATGTTAATTTAAAATGTATTGTGTTTATTCACTAGCCCAGTCCAGATATATTTTAAAGTAATTCTTATGTAACATAACATGAACATGAAAAAGAATTGTTGTGCAAGTACTCACGATGCTAACTGCCATAATAAAATTTGACCTTCTCTTGTATTAATTGTGACCAGATTTCCTCCTATTTCTCTACAGAATTCTTCAGCCTCAAACCAAGACTTCTTTTGGTTTCCCTCTCTGATAAAAAACTATTGGAAAAAAAAATGTAAAAATAAGTTACTAAATGTGTAAAGTTTGGCATATAAAAAGATATAATTACCTATGTAATTAAAATCAGCATCACTTTAGCACCCCTTTATTCTTGAACAAGAAAACGTAACATCTGTCAAGACCTATAATATTAAATATTAGTAATGTAAAGTGTAAGTATTTTTTTCTTAGCATCCTCTGTTTTAAAATAAGGCGAGAGTATCACTGGCATCTGAGGAGAACAAAAGGTTCAGAACAAAATGTTCAGAGTAGAAAAAAATAGTTTGAACTTAATTGGGACTTCGACCACTGAAAGGCCCAAAGAAAGATGAAATAGCTCAGTTGTGGTATTCTGTAGTAGAAAGCAGGAGATTTTTGAGAAACGGAAGGTGGAGAGAAAATCAATAGGTTGGAATAGAAAAGATAGTATGGATGGAGAAAGCTGTTTGGCAAGCTGCTGACTTTGGCTAAAGAAGAGACTTTTGTATGGTGGTGCAAGCATACAAATAGCTCCACTTTCTCTATGAAGTACATACATTCTTGAAGTAAGGAACTGGGTGCCTGACATTTTGGGGAATGAATAATCATCAATTTGGTAACTGGCAGAACCAATAATGTCAGTAACAATAATTAAGCGTGACATAGATATTGAAACCCTCGTAAACAGAGGGCTGAAATAATTTTGGACTCCCAACAGGCAGAGAGCCTCAAGAAAGAAAGTGAGAGGATACTTATGGAAAGACCTGGAAGGGCAATGTTGCATATTTAATTTTCCTTGATCTTGCTTTTTTTTTGCTATTCTTTACAAAAAGAAGACTTTTTAAAGGTCTTTTTAGCTAAATCACGAGAACGTGCAAAATCTTTACTTGCTGAAGGTTCACCAATGTCAAACTAAACCTGGATCTAAAAGTGTCACTAACAGCATCACACAGTGCTGTGTGAGACGAGGTTGGCAGAGGGCCAGGTTTCTGTAAGCATTCTCTTAGAAACATTGTCTTATTCAAGTAACACTGCCAGCTCTTGAGATGCAATACTGTTTTTCTGAAGTCCCAAGTTCCTGGAAGCAAACAAATTAAGTGAGGTTCTCACCTGGCATTTACAGAAAAGAAAGCATATTTCTAGCACTCTATTTTAATTGTTTCATGTTTTCCGTTCTTGAATTTCATTACATTTGATGGATTTTCTCATGTTTTTTTGCCCTTGAATAACATGGCAAAGATCATTCCCAAAAACTACCCAGCACCTGGGTCCCTGAGTACCACAGTGACCAGGGCACTGACCACTGGGCTGCTCCGTGCTCAGGCTCATAGTGAAGGTAGACACACACTTTGAAGCACGAGTCTTTGAAGCAGCTGCAGGAACCCACGCTGAAGGAGCATGAGGCAGCACTCCCGCACCCTGCTCTTTGCAAAGGTAATTTGCTGTCTTCTCACAGCTAACAACATCCCATAATCCAGCTGCAATTCTGGTTCCCATGGCAACACAGCCTTGCTCTTTTCCTTTGTGATATGGAAAAGAAATGAGTAAAACCAAAGTCTTAATTGCTCTCTATGAAATGAGACCTTGCTTTTATTTGTAGAAAATTATGAAAAGGAAGGTGCAGATTATGCAGATTTAAAACCACCATGGATATAAAATTATTTTTAATACCTCCTGCCAGAGACCTGATATGGGCCAACGAGTCTCACAGACACACCTTTGCCAAAAATGGAGATTTGCAGCTTTAGAATACAAATCTTCCTTATCACATCACCCCAGGGAAATCACAGGGCAAATGGCACTTGTTTTTATTTACATACGTAGCAGATGGCCTGACAACTGCTTTGGGGTTCTCAGTGTCCAGGTAATTCAATTTCAAGAAGGCTGATATCAAGTACAACAAGTTTGTTTTAAGGCATAACTAGCCAGTGTGAAGGCACAAGATCCCACATAGATGCTCATCTGTTCTGTTGAAAGGCAAAACACCTGGGTGTTTGCTGCTCATTTCTCATACATTCACCTTGTGGGTCAAAAAACTGTCCATGATAATTTTTCTCAATCTGATGAGATGTTGTTAACTGGTGTTAAAAAGTTGAAAATAGTGAGACCATGGACCTTATTAACTCCTGCACAGTATTGCCTTCAGTTTATCCTATTAAAAATCTGTTTCTGTACAACTTTGCAGTTTGACTTAACACCTGACACTCAGCTCTGATGGTGCTTGTTGCCCTGGCATCAAACACAGGGTCTGATGGTGTCAGTCACCTACGGCTACAACCAAAAAAGACAGTGCCTACTCTAACTTCTAACACCAGAGGATGGAAAGCAGAAACCTGCATGAACTGTAGCTTCACTCCGATCACAGGGATTGAGCCTGTGCAGAGCTTACCTGGCATTGCTGTGTACCAGTGTGCGAAGAGAGGGGTTTCATCACTGGTCCACCTGAAACTCCTTCGTTCTTCTGCGTTGGAGAAACAGATCCAGAAATACTTTCTAGACCTCAGCCCCGTCAGACTAATTAGAAAGGCTTGCTCATTTCTGGAGCAGAAAACAGTGTTCGTTTACAACCTGTTACCTTGCAATATTAATCCAAGTGGTACAAATACAGGCATCGCTATCATGCTAGCATGACCCCAAGGCAACCGCTACTCATTGAAATTCAGGCAAAACCCCAGCAGGCTTTTAAGTGTGGTCAAGAGAATTTGGTGAGGGACAACTTTCTCCTTTCAGCTGAAGGCATCTTCTCCTTCCCACCCAGTTTTGTGAAATGTCACAAATCAATGCTCACATGTATTTCTAGTTGTATGCTGCTTTTTTCCTAGTCTTTCCAGATCTTTGAGGTGCCTCAAACAGACCACGAAGTCAGGACCAAAATGTTGGCTTTGCTAGCCATCACCTCTGAAGGCACTCATGTTCCTCAGAGACCATGAGGCCTGCAAAGCCTGAGATATGGGTGGGTTGGAGACAATGCATTCTTGCTGTGATGGGACAGGTCCTGTAGAAGATTTCCTACATTTGTTCAGATTTGGCTTAGAAGATGGTTCAGGAAAATACTTTTTGTTAAAGATTTCCTATCATAATGAGATTAACACTCATCAGTAAATAGATGAAAATTGTAGTAACTACTTTCCAACAGAAAAAAAAAAAAACAAAACACAACAAACAACAAAATAACATAGAAACTGCTTTGATTAGGGATTGACAAATAAGAGAAAACTGATTCACTCAAGAATCCCTGAAATTTGAAGAATATTATAACAGATTAAGTACAAAGCCCTAAAAAATTGAGTATTTTATTTCCTGCAAGGATAATTTTATTTGGATTACTACTATAAAATTTTTGAAAAGTGCTGATAAACCACTTTTATAAAAATGGACAAGTTTTGCAAGAAGCACTGGTTTTGGAGTATAAAAAAATACATTTTTCTACCTGCTTTCCACTGTGGCTAGATAAGCTTTGCTCTGTTCACAGCTCTTACTTGCTTCTGAGAATGTCAAAAGTGCAGAACCCACCAAGTAGCAGTGAAACCCATATCTTTTCCAACTCTGTGACAAATATGAGGCTTAATGTGAAATTGAAAGAGACTTCAATATAGAAATTAGCTCTGCTCTTTTGTGTATATTCGATGTTAAATTTGTTGCAGCTAAGCATAAAACCAAAATGGGACTGGGATGATCTGTTAATAAAGACAAGCTGGGGGGTTTGTTGCTGTTTGCTCCTACAGAAGGCCTTTTTTTTTTAAGGATGAAATTCAAATTTATTTTTCATCTCTTTTATGTGTACGTGACTTTTCAAAGCAAATTGTGACTGTGCTGTCTGCTCTTGCTTTCCAGTGCTCTGTAAGGCTGGGATTCTGCAAACTGCAACATAACGAGCTTCTGATGCCTTCAGGGGGGAGCTGCAGCTCCAGCCTTCCAGTGCTGTGGGATCCGACATAAGGAAATACAAGAATATTGCAATATGGAAAGGAATTCACATACAAGCACAGCTCCCCTCCCCAGAGCTGCCCCTGCCATCCCCCAGTGCAATGGGTGAGGAGATTTTCTGAGCCAAGAGGAATCCAGTCTGTGCTTGTTTGTGGGAGGGGTAGAAAGAGGGAATATCAGTAAACCACTCTGGTTTCTTCCTGCTGTTAGAGAAAGATCTATGCTGACCAGCATCAATATAATTCCTTTCTGAAAAAGTCAATTCTGGAAAAATTACTGGTTTGAAATAAAAACCAACCTGCTGATATCGCTCGAAGGCCAACTAAGTAGTCCACCAGTAGGAACATGGTACAGAAAAGCTGATCTTTATTTTCTTTCTCTTATCATTCTTATATAGTAAGGATTTTGTAAAGACTTTAAATAGACAGCAGATCTGAGAAAAGAGACAAAGTGGCTTTGGGTAATTTTACATGTCTTCTTAGGCTAAGAGCATAAATAGAGAGAATAGTGGTGAAATTATGATTTAAAAGATGTATGTAATTTTTTTCACTAGGTGGCTCATCTGGGAATGGAGGGAAAGGCAGTATTCATGTACATTTAAATGAATCTTGACTTTCTTGACTATATTCAAATTTTGAGCACAAAAATGAAAATGCACATATATTAGTAAATTGCTAGTAGGAAAAGACTAGGCTTCCTCAAGAGTATATTTTCTAGAAGGTACAAAGACTCTAAAAGAAGCAATAACCACTAAATTAATTTCTGTTGATTTTTCCGAACATAATTAATTTATGAGAGAGCATTTACTTTCTGGCAGCCTGGATCCTTGATTGTCTCTTTGACAGAGGTTTTTGATGAAGGCTTCTTTTTACAGATGTAGCCAAGTTGCTTATCACAAACATCAGTTGCCCAGTATCCATCCTAGAATAGCAGGAAGAAGAAAGAAATGCAGAAATCTTCACTACAAGGCCCACTGAAATATGTTACCTAGAAAGGCTATAGGGTCACTGCTGGAGATTTTTTTTTTTTTTTTTTTGTGAGGGAGACACATCTGTCAGGATTGGTTTAAGGCCCATTTGATGCTGTTTTGAAATGAAAGAAGGAAATAAATAACATCTTGAAGTCTCAGCATTACTTGCTATCATAACTATCCGTTTCATGAGAGGGTTTGTAAAGATACATATCATCTGGGGCTAATGGAGCTGTATTTAGAGCTGGATGTTTTCACTACACTTCTGGAAAAAAGATCAATGAAACTGAAATAATGCACATCTGAGTGTGTTGCAGTAAATCTAACTATTTTATCCATCAAGGAGAAGACTCTGAAAGGGATTGTTTTCTTTTTAAAAAAAGAATTACATTAAAAAAAAATTAAATAGGAGCTTTTTTAACCATAAAATTTGGTTAGGATCAATTCTATTGATGCCTAATATGGGCAAACATCAATACTATTCTATGATATAACTGTTCTTTCTTTCAGAAATGGCAAGTGATTTCAGAGTGATGTAGTTATTAATTTGCATTACTATAAAATGAGTGCGTGGTCATACCTGCCCCTTCATAACAACGCAGTCCTCCAGACCGTTTGTGTAGGTGGGATGCCTGCGCTGCCATTTGGTGAATGTCACAGGAGTCCCATCACTCCACTCAAAACAGAAGTGAGTCTTCAGGTCATGCAGACCCAACCATAGCTCTTCTGTTGGCTCTGAAGCATGAGAAGAAATAGCTTACAGTCTGCTGTGCAATACAGTGAACCTTTTTCACATCCGGAACAAACAGGGACTGATAAAGTTGGGATGTGGTATATCCTGGTGCTTTAACAGAAATGGTAGTTTCCTCTGAGACCGGCAGTAAGAGATGTCTTGGTCTGTACTGAAAAGGCCTCATATTCAATCCAGAAATACTGAGTTTAATAAACATAAGGCTCTTTATGGCTGGCAGAAGATTTTTACGAAGATTTTTACAAACTTTCTGAGTATCTGTGATTCAGAACAACAAAATGGCCTCTAGGATGGACGGTAGGACAGTGCGTGTCTCATATGTCGGGAGATCAAACTGAGCCCAAGCCATGAAGACCTCAGCCAATAGATCTCCTTCATGGGGAAGAATTAGAGGGCTTGTAATGGCCCCTCAGGGGAGTTCACCAAGTCCAGCATGTGCAGCAAGTGTCAAGACTGGTTACTACAGATCCAAGAAAAATCGGAAGTGAAAAGATGTTGTTTTCTTAGGTGGAAATACAGCAAGAGGTTGACCTCAGCAAGAAGTTTTAATCTCAGCAAGAAGTTAAATTTCTTATAGGTTTGGAGCAAAGTTCTAAAGATATTGAACATAAAGGGGCCAAAAGTGCAATTTTTAGAGATACTTATGTGTCTCTTTTTCATTTTCCCACTTTATAATGTTTTACAATGTAGATCATTGCTTGATAGATACAAATATATTTCTAGGCTTATGCAGCAGCAGCAACAGAAAAGAATAGCATAAGTTAGATTTAGCCTTCTGCTTGTGGAATTTCAGAAAAAAATCATTATTTACTATGAAGCCCAGCTTTTGTGTTACAGATGGGGCAAACAATGCAGGCCTGCATATATACTTACTGTAACCAAGCTGTGACACTAGAAAGCTGTATTCAGCAATGTTGTGGACACTTGCCAAAACTCCATCTTGCTTCTTACATGAAGTCAGAGCATCTTTCCGTATTTTGGGTTCCCGCTGAATGCTGTAGCAGTGGCCTGCATATGGCCACCAACCATCTGTGCACTTAATAGGTCTCAATTCCTCTAAAATTAAAGCAGCACAATTTTTCAAAGCAATTTTGTAAGAGGAAAATGAAGGACACTAAAATGAGGTCTCTCAAGCACTCTTTATAAAAGTGGGACTATATGAATAAACATAAAGCTGTAGTTAGATATGCAAATACATTCAAATAAAAAACAAATATAATTAAGGCACAGCATGCTAAATATGCAAATTGAATGATGTCTTCTTAAGCAGAGAATCATTGAAAAATACCCACATTGTGTGAGAGGTGCATTTTGAAATAATGCTCTGGGAGGAATGAGACACCAAAGCAGACATCAGCCTCTCTCCCATTTGCCCCCTGGCACAGTGCAGTCAGTGTCATGCTCTCCCCCACTGTGTGTGGTGGCTTACATTAGGCTCTGCCTCCTGTTCGATGTCTTCTTGCAAACACACATAAATTTCAGATATGGAAAAGCATGAAGTAATTCTTCGATAACAGCAGATCAGTGAACAGCACCAATTAGTGCAGAGTTGGTAGTTCTTGTGTTAACTCAGTGGCCTTTTTATTACTCAGATTCCTAAATATCTGTAAAAGCTTAGCTTAAGCTTGCTTTAAAAATAAGAGTCCTGCATTTCTTTTTAAGGTTGATAGGGGAGTAAAGATTCTTGGAAATTATTTCTCTGCTTTCTTTAATATAACTACTTCTTTAAAAGTAGCTTTTATAACATTCCCAGATGACAGCCTCCAGCAGATCCCTCCTGTGTGTGGCATGTTCACAGTCACATCGTGTCACTGAAGTCTCAAGTCGGGTGGCCCCTGGATGAAACGCAGCCTGTGTGAATACTGCTGCTCCTCCTGCTCTGCTCATATGAACCCGATGCATTGCATACTGTTGTCATCAGAGGAGGATTTTTTGCATTATTATTAGAGTAACTGCAATTGCTCATTTGGAGCAAATGAAAAGAAAATGAGAAGCATAAGATTTCTACTGTATTTATGAAAATTTGATAACCATGACAGAGCACTTTTATCTGTCTTGCAAGAATGAAAGACGGAGTGATGGAACAAAATAATAATATTCTCCTATGAACGGATAATACACAATGGGAGGACAAAAGCAATATCTAGAAGTCTGTGTGCGCATGTATAGCTATGCTTTTCAAAGGTTTCTAACATCTTGGTTGAAAAATAATATTGCATACTTTTTATCATTTATGGATCTTTACAGATTGCTCTCACTAGAAGTCAAAGAAAAGTCTTGTATTTTTGTTTGACTAACCTACATTTGGGTATAATGTCAGACTTTGAACTGAAGTTTCTCTTTTTACAAATGTAGCCAAGTTTCTGGTTACATGCTTTGTTTTCCCATTTAGCATTCTTTGTGGGATTCAGCACTCCACAGATTTTCCCAGGGAGCAGGAAAGGACTTCCTCTGAGTAAGAGAGAAAATAGAATCTCACAGCAAGAATAAATAAAAAGATTAACAATACCATCATGGTATCAGTAGAAACATCAACTTATTCTTCAATGCTTAATATGAAGAAGACCTCTCCCATAGGATAACTGCTGGTGTGGTTTATAGGATGCTGCTTTTAGTCTATGCTTTGAGAGTGAAGTAATCACCCTCCATTGACTTTGTGTAGTACTGGGAAATTTCTGGTTCTCCTGATATCCTGGTGCTCACAGACAGAACAGCTGAAGCTAGACTGTTATGCTGTGTCAAAAACTTCCAAACTTTAAAAATAAATTATATCCAGTATATCACTCCAGTGTATCTCAAGAATTTCACAATTCTACTTGCCTATAAAATAGCTTTTCTCTTTTCTGTTGCAGTGTGTAGAAAACTCTGTAAGCAGCAAAAGAAATTGCCTGATACGGGATTTTTGAAAGCTTAGAGGAGGGATTAATTATTCCTTTACCACCTTGTAACTTTTCCAAAACAGGGAATGGCTTGAAATACTCATGGCACAAAGAAAATACAGGCCCCAAAAAACAACAAGGAAACAGAAGAACTCCTCATGTGTGTGGAGCCCCACAAACCCACCCCTGTCTCCCTTCCTTGAGGTGGCCCTGTGCAATTTTGCATAAACTGCTGAGGAATTATGAGCTGGCTCTGTAAGCACCTCAATAATATTTAGAATTTCTCTAGACAATGTAGTGCCATTATTTTCTAAATATTTTGCTACTTATGGAAGATTTGATTTATATTCATACTCTTGGGCCACATGTTATGGAAAAATTCTGATCTCTGGTCTGTAGGGTTATATATCACTCCAAATGATACTCTGCTTTCATAAACAAGCTCTTTGCTTATATAACTTGCTATAGCTGATATCCACAATGAACTTTGTAATTTGGAAGTGTGCTTCTTAAAATAAAGATTTAGATCTTCGGCTATTGTAAATCAGAATGGGCTTTTCTGAAATAAAAGTAGTTAGGGCAATTTTTATTAGTTGGTGTCATCAGAATTCATTTAAAGATTACAAAATAAGTGTGATTCTTACCTGGAGCCTAGTTTAAATATCTGAAAGGGCTGCCACCAGCCCATTGCCATCCACTGTCAAAATTCAAACTGTTCAATCCAATCCAGAATGCAAAACTGATTTTTTTAGTTAGCTCTAAATTAGGAAAAAAAAAAGTCAATTCTATCTCCCTATTCTCATTCTTAGCAAATGAATCCAAAAGAAATAAAGTCAAAAGTAAGAAATTTATATTTCTTAGTTTAAACCTGCCCCGAACCAGTGCTTTCCACATTGCTGAGATGCACAGATTAAAAAAGTACAATATGTAAATGAATAAATATTGATTTAGCAGAGATCTCAGTAGTTAAAAGGGCAAATGAACATCTTATTTCACTACTTACATAAGAGTTTACTTCTCTCATTTTCCTTCATTAATACATGACAGATGTAAAAAATACCTTATTTTCATTAGGGAATTGTGCTGAAATATTTCTGTAGCAGATTCCATGGAGTAAACACACCAAAAAGACAAAGACAGGGTGCCAATCAGTTACTTCCAGATTTTTTTTCTATGTGAGTGGTTTCAAAGCCTCCTTCACACCATTTATAACCAAACTGATACTACGATACTTGTATCTGAAATTCACTGGAGTTATTTGGAGTTTCTGTATGCAAATATACCCATATTAGGACCAATCTAGACATCATCATCTGTTCTTCTAGAAAGATTAATAATCGTTGAAACACGGAGGATAAAAGGTAAATTTGGGGACCAGACCATAGCCCTGAGGAATGAGTGCACTGCACAAAGGCAAGCAGAGGACACACTCCCCCTGGGACAGGCTGCAGAAGATGCGGTAACTCCAGGTGGGAGCTGGAGCACAAAGCTGGGATGGGGTCATTTCCTTCCCTGTAGAGGTTTGGGACCAATCCTTCATAAAAAAAACACCAGGTAGTGGAAGGGCAGTTCAGACCATCTCCCTTTTGGCGGCTGCGACCCCCCCCTGACACCCTGTCTTCTTCACTGAGACAGAAGCCAAGGCAGCCATCTTCATTGCCTAAAGCTCTTGGGCAGCATATTTTAAGGTCTTGTTCTCTGTCATTTTACCTCCAATATATGCTTGCTCATGAATCTCTGTGATGCTTAGTAGTTCTGCATTTTGCTGCTGACAGCTTTTCCTTGCTTGGTGCCATGTTAGAGCTGATTCTGAGTTTATTTGATAGTGAATGCCAGTTGAAACATCTTCTGTCCAAAATCTTTCTGTGCCGTCTGGAAGAAGTGACATAGAGCACTGCTGTTAGAGGATTGGCATTGTACAAATTAAAAGCAAATGAAGTATGCAATAATGCAAAAAATCTCTAAAAATGCACAGTATTAACTATGCTGTCATCAATTTTAAAGCACCAGAAAAATTGAAAACGGCGTAGGCGTCAACTGAAAAAAGAAAAGTAACTTTTTTGAAATTAAAAATGTCATTTTAAATTTTTAAGTTTTTAGAAGGGAGTGAATGGGTTTCCAATATTTTCTTTTAAATTTTCTGTTACAGAAAATGTAGTACTAGGTAAAATACTGGACGTATCTGATGACTGAAAAAAGACATTCCAGAGTGAACTCAGAGGAGGAAAGTAAGCGTGTAGGTGAGCTATGGCCCTGGAGAACCTTTGTCTCCACGGGGCAGGAACTCCCTCTTAGCTCATCAACAAAAGAAGCAGCTTTTTCAAAAATGGCAGAACCTGGCCCTTAACAGCCCAAGAAGCAATAAAAGCAGTCTGTGTAGCACCAACGTACAGATCGGCTGCAGTCTTTGCAGAACGACTCACAAAAACTTGTGAAATTGTTGTGTTATTGGGAAGGCAGCTGGTGAGAAAAGTGAAACAGTTTGTGTCCTGAGGTACAGGGGTCCAAACATAAGTTCGGTGCAGAAGATAGTACAAAGATGGGAGTGGAAGATAATTTTAGCAGGAGCTTTTTTGTGTAGGCTGGCAAAAGGAGATAAGAACAAGGTAGGAAATGGGTGTTAAGGGGAAAATGCAGTATGTAGCAGTTTAAGTGAGAATTGACCTACAGGGCATGCCTGAAGGCATGACACCTATTTGAAAGGAGGGTCTCCATCTAAATTCGTGCTGGTCTTGCCATGCACTTAAGTCACATAAAATGAGATATCAAAGAGCCTCCTCACCTCCCTTGTCCACAAAGACAAACAGCCACCTCCAGCAGGTGAGTCAGAGCCTGGCTGGGCTGAACCACACTCTGGAGGCACCTCTTCCTCTGCACTAGCTACAGAGGGAGCACTTGGCTACTGGGGCTAATGTTCAATCAGATGATTTTAATTTGGGCTACTCTGACAAGATTTGTCATGAGGATGTGCAGCTGGTAGCTGATAAAGACCCTGGTAGCTCAATAGATGGTTTTCTCAACAATGTTTCATGACAAGTTAATAAATAAAATGCAGGACTTACTTAATAGTGGGAAAAATCCGTACAGTTTGTCAACATCAAAGTCTGCAGTTGTCGCACGCCAGAGCCAGCCATCTGACCTTCCAGCATCTGTGCACTCATTGTACTGTTTGCCTTCACATTTAAAAGGGAATACACATGGCTGTCCATTGGCGTTTCCTTGTAATGTAAACATATCTAGTGGGAAGAAAGGGTGAAGAGGACATATGAAAATAGTCATAAAATCATAAATCTCACTTCCTAGTAGTGAATCTATCAGTATATCTGTCTGTCTAAACTGAGAGGTCACACTGTCTTTTTTTAATTGTTTTTTATCAGTTTTCCTCCTTGTAGCTAGAATTTTTAAGTAAAATGTTGTTTTAGTAAAATCTGGAGTTTAAATACTGTGTTTAGAGTGTGATATATATACCTTGTAGGAAAGTCAAATTCTACGATGATAAGTAGCTGATAAGTTGTGGTTCCTGAAGACAGAAAAACCACAAGTAGATCTCAGAGAAGTTCACTGCATTGTTGTATTCTGTATAGCTCAATAGGTTCACTTTATCCTCCATCTTTTCATTAATTGTTTAAAGGAAAAGGATAGCTGACCAGAGAGAATACAGATCAGGTTGTCATGGGCATATTTACGCAGTAAAAATTTTAGGTTTCAATTGCACATTTCTGCGCTTGGAGACATCTTGCAGATTCACCCTCAACTCAGATTCTTTAAGGTTAGCAATGCTTCATCTTTTGAAACTATCATAGTATTATGGGAGTGGTTTTTTAATCCTGAAATTTATAATATTTGCTCTCAATCTCACAGTCACACAAACATTCATCCGCTCAGTTTCTCACATTCACACAAACATTCAGCCACCCAGTTCTGTATATTATTGCTTCACCATTTCTCCCTGTAGATATACCAATGAGTGATACACATCTTCAGACTAAAACAGTTCTAATTTGGTCAGACTGGAGGGGAGGAGCCAGTTCTTCCTTCTCATACCTCATGTCTGGAGCAGAAAGAGAAACTTGCACAGCTATCATGACAACATGGCTCTAAACCCGTTTCACTCGTCACTATGCAGTGGGTGTGATGGGGAGGGTAAATGGAAAGAGCTCCATGCTTCCTCATCTCTCATTGCCCTCCCATTCAGTGCCATCTGATTTAATAGTTCCACAGACAGAAATTCCAGTTTTAAGATCCTGCTCTTACTACCTCCATTTCCCTCAACATCCCTACATCTCCCCTCTTTTATTTATTTATTTATAGTGAATAAAGAACTGCCAGAATAACACCCAACATACTCTTTAGATCATGTATCAAATCTGATAACAAATGTAAAATAACCAGTCTATGCATTAAAACTGTAAAGCTGCCCAAGGAAAAGCATTTTCCTATCTAGCTTAACACAAGCCCAACAGAAAACTTACCCAGTAACTGCAATGAACCATGCATGAGGGAAAGGAAAACTAGGAACCTGGAGAAACTCATTGGAAATGTAACTTGCTTTCGTTCCTCCACCAAAAGTTGGACTGTTAAGATTGGCAGCGTATAAAATCCTTCTGAGTGAGGATAGTAACAGGTCCTTCTCTGTGTCAAAGGGTTCACGGATAAAGCTTTGTACTCTAAATAAGGAAATATCCTGTCACATGGTGTTTTGAAATAACTAGAGTGCACATTGCAAACTCTGCTCTCTTTGAGGAGTGAGTCACTTCCAAAACTGAAGTCTCCATTCTTGTAACTAGAGGTGGTGACATTGTCTTTTTCTGGGGCTCTGCTAGTATTATATACGGGTCAGTTGTTGGGGTGCTACACAGGACAGACGTCTAAAAGAGCAGCTTGAGAACTGGTGACAAGAAACCTGCAGTGAAATATCACTGATTAAAAACTCAGTCTCTTCTTTAACCCTTACATCTCAGAAATAGAGGGAGACAAAACCGCAGTGGTTCAGTACATTGCTATAATGTCCCAGCTCTACATATCTAGAAGAAAGAGAACAAATTTTACAGGGTCTGCAGTGTTCGGTGCATCATGAATTATTGCTCATTTTGAAGGCTAAAATTGCTTTTTTTTTCTGTGCTGTTACACTGCTTGCTTTGATCATAGTTTGAGGCCAAGCTGTTTATAATTACTTGTCGAAGATCTGAAAGAAGTGAAGGTGTTCAATGCTATAGGCTAGTAGCAGGCTTCCCTGTAACAGGAGAGAAACTTTTGCCTGGAACACTTCTGTCAAGCAAAAGGATATGTTCATCTATCTGAGAAATTCCTAATGAGGGTGTTCCAGGACAAAGCCGAACGTAAGCTAAATTGGAAAAGCTCCTTTTAATATGTGAGCAAAGTGCTCATCTGGAGACTTACATTGGCATGGAAAATCTTCTTCAACTGCACTGCAAAGCTGTGTTGGCAAATACTTGCAGACAAGTCCTACTGTTCCTTCTGTTTATTTACATCAGTGAAATCAAAAGAAGTTTTGACAATGAAATTAGAAAAAGCAAGAAGTGAAATAATTAGTCGCGAGATATATACATAGAAGCTGAACAGAAGGTGTCATAAGAGGAGCAGCTACCTTTGCTTTTATTTATAAGGTATTGTGGAAAATTATTGCAAGAACTGGCTAAAGTTGTTGACTGTTAGAAAGTACTAAGAGAGAAAAATTTTTCAGAAAAAAATTACTGTATTTCAGTAAAAGTAGGAATTGAATAAAATGTTTAATAATAACTATTCTATTTGCAGGTGACATTCAGGGAATGCTTAGTACAAGCAAGGATTGCAGAGCAGCCCAAAGTCATAAAACTGAGTGGTGCCACAGACAGCAGTGGGGTGGGCGAGAAAGAGAAGCTGAGTTTACTGAGGGAAACCGTATTTCAGATACGTCTGAAATCACACAGTGAAATGTCTCCAACAGAGGGGATACCCAAGGGAAAATACTCGGAGGATGAAATTCCTGCCTGGTTCCCTCCTCTGCCTCATGAAGTGCCAGCTGCACTCCAGTCCAAACTGGGCTTTAGTCTCTTACTTTGTAAATAGATGCTCATGAGGATTCAGCTCCCCAGGGCTGCAGAGTGATGGGGGGAGATTAGTGCACCCCCTGCGGTTGGCTAAAAGAAGAATTGACCACTTCAGAGCTGCCCCTTTCACATGACCAACCAGCTTGATGCTGGTTACAGACTTTTGGGGGTCAGTGTCCCACATGCTGCATTTCACTTGTGCAATAGCCTGTTCTCACCAGCGGGCTAAATTCTTGGTTGTACTTATGCCAAAAAACAGGAGTCCAATGCCTAGAAAAGAAATTTCATTACTTTTTACTATTACTTCTTTTAACCTTCCAGCTTGCTCAGTATACCCTGTGCAGCCTGGGGAAGGGAGGTTGTTTGCTGGGGCTCTCTGCTAATCATTCTTCCCCATAAAGTGTTTAGTCTCTAAATTATATTTGCAGCTCATCTAAATGCTATTTTGTACTGCTTTCTACTGTTTTTCTAACATGTTAAACTGGTCTTCTTGCAGATTCCTAGTACAGTATCATCTGCTGCCTTCCTTAGTTTTCAGTTCCTTTTTCTCACATTTAAAAATGGCAAGTTGGTGCTTATTCAAGCTGAATTCAAAGTGGCAGGGAGAGAAGCCTTCCTTGTTATTGACAAAAGAACTATTGTGCAGACAGGAGCACCTTCCTTCCCCTTTTCCTTGCACTTGTTCACGGTGAAGGTGGAAGCTGAAAATTATACTAATAAAATTTTTTTATTTCAAAGCATTAACAAAAAGACAGAAGAATGAATGGGTGAGAATATTTTAATTCATGTTATTGAGCATACTACAGTTAATCATATTATCAGATTGAAAAAAGACCAAAACCTACACCTAAGCTTAACATCCTTTGCTGGTATGAACTGTATTTTCTGTAGCAGAAAATGAAAATAGCAAGGTTTTCTATCCCAAAGTTACCAGACATAAGTATATGAAGCAACATTTTACAAGTGTAATAGGATACAGCTATAAGGAACAGTAAGTGCTGGTCTGATGGAGTGAAGTTTGTGGGGCAAAACAAGTTCAAGATTGCAACAGAGTTGGGCAGATTTTATTTTTGAGTTCTTTGCAGTGTCTACAATGGGAATACAGTTCTAAATAGTAGTCACACTTTACTGAACATTCATTCTCACTAATTCACTTTTATAGTTCTTTTCCAGTGAATTTATTTGGTTTTGACAAGTTATTTACACTAGTGTTTTTGCTAAGGCACCTGAGAACATCTTTACTGTTACAAAACCATAGCATCAATCTGTAATTCAGATTTTGGAAAACATGCATGATACAAAAGAGTCTGCTAGTGCAAATATAGAAAAGAGATTTAATTTAAGAGTAGATATCCTCACTAGAGACTTTTAACAGATACACGCTTTAATTTCAGCAAGTAACTTGCTCATCTGAATTGGTACATGCCACAGGACGAGTTCTCATCATTTCTTCAGTCACCAACATATCGTTCTAGAAGTGTTTTATTGCCAGAATCTGTTGACAGTTGGTTTTGTCTTTTTCTCTTGTAGAAATAGACTGACATGCCAGCTCCAAGAAGAGTGAGAATAGCCAAGAAAATGAGTGGCCAAACAGAGGCATGAACAAGTGGGTGAGTCTCTTCATTCTTTCCCTTGCCTGAAATGAATGCATATAACTGTGAGAAACCTTAGTCATTTTTTATTCCACAAACATGAACAACGTGGAGATGTTCTCTCCTGCCTGAGCTTGGAGTCTGTTCAGTGTAACTCTGAGCCCTGAATTGTTGCTGCTCAGTAGCCAGGTCTCTCTTGCTAAAGCTAACATGGTTTTAGTGGATCTGGACTACTGTGATAGGTAATGAGTGCAGTGGGTGCTTGTAAGAATTTAATGAAAATGTGTGCTTGAGATATGGGTATGGGATGCTAATTATTTGGAAGTTAGTTGTACAGTATTTTTATGTTACATTATTTACAATAATACCTGTGGAAGAAACTTGCATATACATCTACATAGGTTTTAACAGCCGAAAGCTCTCTTTGCCTGTTCTCAAAGTTAGTCACAAGTTGGGTCCAGTCGACCAAGAACACGCGAGTGCTCATGTGCATGTAAAAGGCACTGTGGGATTACCCTGAGTGATTTCTAACCCTGCATCCCAGTACCCCTCAGCAGGACTTGTTCTCTAAAAGGGGATGATTCAGGAAAACTCATTTTAGGTTCTTCTTGTATTTAGATTTTTGTTAATTTTCTTATGAAAGCCCTTACCTTTCTCCTGTAGAGGACTCCCACTTGGCTGAATTTCAATGGATATCAGAGAGAAATATGACACTTCATTGGAATTCATAAGTTTGACTGTTTTGCTAAAATTATACAGGAACAAAAAACCCCTGAAGTATTACCATTGCATTAATAACATATATGTGTGTTATAAAAGGCAACATAAGTGAGGCAAAAAATATATTACTAAGATTTTACCTTCTTCCTTAACATTACCAAACTATAGTATTCATTCATTTAAAAATTTATATTGTTTTTATACCTACAAACATTCAAATACTGACTATTTTCTGTGTTCACTCAAAAATATCTTTTCATGGTTTTCCCAAAATATTAATTTTAGTTTACTAAGAACATGATGTACAACTCTGGAGATTAATTTCACAGGGCACATATCAGGAAGCAATTCATGTCTGCTGGGATTCTGCTGTTACAATTAAGCTTAAGATTCTTAAATATCTTCCCTAGAAAATGCCTTCTGAATCAAGGCTCTAATCTTCCCATTTGCCTATGCATAAGAAAGAGACAGAGAAAAAAGAAAAGACCTTTATAAAATCTTTTTTTTTTTTTGTTGAAGAGGTGCAAAAATAGTTTGACACTCAGAAAAGAAGAAGAATTAGACATATTGGATGTTCTTACAAAGTAAGGAAAACTGTTCCAAATCAAGACTCCCTAAATTATGAAGAAAATATTTCTCCTCTTGTCTCTTTTACGTTATGGTTTGGAAATACACTTGCTACCCAGAGGAGAAATTATAAAGGCAAAATGTGAGATGAAAGGAAAGCAAAGCAGAATGTAAAATGAATAGGTACAAAGCAACAGTATCCCCTACTAAGGCAGGAAATAGGTACATACAATAGCATCTTGTGATTCAAGGATGAATTTTAGTGCTTCCTTATTGTTTTAGTACTCTATGAGATGGAATATAATTTAGATGGTTTTAGTTAATCTTTAATGGGGATTAACTGATTTACTGCTGTGGGCATGTGCTGATTTAAGCATGGAAATGCTTGAAATGCATGGCAGATGACTATTTCTTGGTTACATTTCGGTTTGTTTTTTTTTTTTTTTAATAAAGACTACACTTGAAAAATGGATAAACGCTAACTCCAAATTTTTAATTATTTTTCTGAGAACTGCTATGGCTTGTGATGTGTGTAGTACCGAAATCATGTCTTTTCAACTTTTCATCTGAACAGAGGAATTTTAAAAATTGTTTTACACAGGAA